TTCGCATTTATATATATTAGTATAGTATAGTATTAGTATTAGTATAATTATATAAGTTGTTAGGTTAGGTTAGGAAAGGGAGAAAGGTATTTAAGAGATCGGATATTAATTTATTTATCAAAGCAAATAAAACCTACACCGGTTCAAACCGGTTATTCGACAAGGTCATGTTTAGTTCGGGGGTCGAGACTCGAGACGATTCATTTATACAAAAGTAACTAGTTTTTTCTCTGGATTTTACTAAATTTATTTAATAATAAAGTCATTTACTAGTTCTGCTTTAAACCACTTCTCATTGTATCTTAGAATAATTACCGGAACGGTTATTAGGAATCCAAATTTAAGCGTCTGAGAACTGTACTTGACACATTCGGTTTGCTATAAATTAATAACATCTATGCGTAACTCATATACGAAACAATTTTACCTTCCCAACCCGGTTAACGTGACCTTTAAGAGTTAATTACGCACGATGTTATAAGCAGAAATAAACTCAACATCCGATTCAAATATGTCGAAAATTCACGTAACCAAAGGGATCACTGGGATGTTAGCTTACCTTTTGTAAGCTTATGTCATAGAAGTATTCACTAATTACAAATTTTTGTGACTGTCGGTGGTGCAGTTGATAATAGCTTGACTGGACTAGGCTGAAATCTATACGTTTAACGATCTCCCCCATGTATCATGATGTTTTTCGATTTTCGAATTTCATATGTTCATTTAACCGACGTACACAATCGATACATTACTTACGAGTACATTGTAATAAAACCTGTACATCTCAGCGAAGATATTTAGATATGTCTGAAGTCAAGAAGTCCACACTGCCAGAACGATTATGGCCTTGATGCCTCTATGGTAACCCTTCATAAGTATATCTACACCGTAGTACTTCATAACGCAATTATTATGCTGAAAATAATATATTCAAAAACGAACGTAAAAGGCCTCTGATGTATGACTGGGGACAAAGTTATTTAGTCATAAAATTCAGTGAAGGTTACGCGCACAATAAAGAAAATATGAAAATTGCCAGAGCCCGAATGTTCATTAGGGAGAGGTCTGGCAATTTAGACGATTAATCTGCCAAGATTACCTTTGAGGAGTGCTAATTACGTTTTTATAATCGAGCCGAATTGAAGCGAAAACATCTGGAGGCGTTTAAAAATTCTCAAGTATTTTTCTTCAATTATGCTTTTATCATGTTTTCTATTGAAATCTTGTTTCAACGCTCTGTAACATAATATAATTTTAATGTCTGAATATGTACTATTAATTTCTTAACATTACTATAATCCTAACCTACAAATATTATAAAATTTCCATAGATGTTTGTTCGAGTTTGTAGCCTAAACTGCTAAACGTATCTTGATGAAATTTGGCATAGATGTAGAGGGCTGTCTGGAACGTATAGGCTAGTTTGTTTTGTTTTTACTAACTCCGTGCGAACGCAGTCGTCGACGAGAGCTAGTATATGATACTCTAAATTTAATTAAATCACTCATATCATCAACACATCTCTCAGAATAATATTACCCAATACTTTGGCTTATTCATATTTTTATTTAACCTCGACATCATAAACCTATTTAAAACGTGTTAGTTGCAACGCGTTATAACATCCTATAATTTAATGCTCTTAAACATCATCATAAATATTAACGCTTGTTAACTAAAGTGTGGTTTGCAGTTTATCATCATAAATTATTATCGACAGTTAGTTTAGAAAATGAGAACACAAACACACATCTTTGGGCGACTAAAGTAAATAAAAATACGTATGGCACGACTTTTTATATAATCAAATCAGAGACACTAGATGGCGCTGTTATTTGAAATGTTGTCGGTTAATTTACAAAGATGGCGCTATTATAAAGCGTAAGAATTCTTTGGACAGAAAAATTAAAGATCAAGTGTGTGGACAAATAAGATGTATTTGAATAACAAAACTGTAGAAATTGTAAACAGTTAAATTTCTAGTGTTAGTAAATAACGCCGAAGTTTATGAGTTTGCTTACTTATTTATAAGTGGGCGGTAATTTGTCTAACTAAGCTGGCCTTTAAAGGATTACATTAAGTGTAAGGTATTTAGAATTCTAAGCTCCTAAGAACATTTGAGCTGAGAATAATGCCTTTAATTTCATTGTTGGTACGAACTTTGGAATAGTCTTTAAAATTTATATGAGGACCTTATTTACTTTTAGCCAATTGTGAGAAGAAATGTTTCTATAACATAAGTAAACACAGTCAATCGAGTTGATTCACATCATCTCCCCTGCCTTATCCCACTCCCGTAGGGTCGGCGCACAGGGTTTTCGTCCTCCAAAGCACTCTATCATCCGTAATCTCAATCATCACTCCCTTCTTGATCATGTCACCTTTCACGCAATCCATCCATCTCTTTCTAGGTCTATCTCTACCGATGTACCCCTCCACATTCATAACTAACATTCTTCTTGTTACATGCGATTCATCCCTTCTCATAACATGCCCATACCACTCTAACCTTTTACTCCTCATTTTCTCAACCACTGAGGCTACTCTCAAACTTCCTCTAATATACTCATTTCGTATCTTATCCAATCGTGTTACCCCACACATCCATCTTAACATTCGCATTTCCGCTACATGTATTCTCCTAGTCAATCGAGTTCATTGGTTTTTTTAATTATCTATTCCCAATTTTGTCATGTTTGATACTAGCTATTGCTTGTGGTTCTGTCCACATTAAATTTAGCCTATGTTAAAGAGTAATAACGTAGCTTTTTAATGGTGCAAGAATTTAAAAAATCGGCCCACTTGTTTATGAGTTATACCAATACATACAACAATACAAATCTTTCATCTTTATAATATTATGTGATTCGCCAGTATTGGATCTTAAACTATAAAGTTTACACATTTCTGGCAAGTTCTACAAGGGGCGAATCATTATTGCTTCTATGTCCGCAATGAAATGTTATGATTATTTTCCATTCCTTCGTGTAACATTTGAAACGGAGTTTGTGCAACGATTAAACTTGTATTACGTATTGTTTTGTGTTCACTAATGGTAACGTTGGCTTTTTACGTGACAAAGTTTTCGGTGACTTGGCCATTTTCGGTTGGGTTTTGTCGTTTGGTTAAACAGTTGCGACACGAATGGTATGTCGTTTACTTGAATCTTCGAATTATTTTAATAATAATTGTCTAATGAATTCGTCCGTAAATGTTTAGATAATTATTAGTTACTAGCTGTTCCTGTGCGACTTCATCCGCATAAAATTATGAAAAAAATTATTGTATTGTTACAAATTATCAATTGCAAATGTCAAAATGATATGATGACCATGGCAACCTTGCTTCTTTAATGTTGGCAGTTTGTAGTTTATGGTCCCTTTCCCACATGAAGGATTTATTCAATTTATTTATCCCCAAGTTTCATAGCGTAAAAATATATAGCCTAAAGCGTGTCATAAGTGTAGGGCTTTTATTTAAGAAAAGAATTATTCAAATATGTGCTGTGATTGCTGACATCCTACGCCACAAAGTAGTGTGTGTTTATGTGTTTACGCTTTATTATATTAGTATAGATTTATCAATGAAAATAATGTCTTAAAAGATAAATACAGCTAAGTGGATCTCCATGAAATTTTGTATAGATATAGAGCACGGTCTGGAAGATCACAAAAGCTACCTAAACATTTTTCATTTCCGCGTGGACAAATTTGCGAGCGACAGCTTAAAGAGGGACAATAACTATTTAAATTATGTATATAATTTGGTTATCTATATTAACGGTTAAATATAAATTGCAATAAAATAAATACTTTATATTTTTTCAAAATTAAGTAAAGACTTAGTGTATCTTGAAAGGTATTAACTTAACTTAAACTCCTTTACTTCATACACATTAATTATCTATTTCTATTTCTTAAGGGATTTTCGCAAAGTAACCTCATTCTATTAACTACTGAAAGAAAATCAGGTGAAACGTTAGGATTTTTCACAGCGCATTTTACTAACACTTAGCTCTTATACTAGATGTCGCTTTCACCTTTAGTATAACAATGTAATAGATACGAGTTCGATAAAAAATCGAGTGATGTATAAAATATATTCTAGCCAAATATAAATTCTGTACAAATATTATCTTATGTTAATATTACGTATAAAACATTTTAGTTATAAAAAACATACGAATTCAGAACCTCATTTTAGAAGTCTGTTAAAGTATTTTTAAAAAACTATCTCATTTACATACAGATATAAAAATATTCTTGGTAATTCTGTAGAATGGGAGATATTTAAATTTATTTCCCTCCCTCTTTCTTTCAAAGCCATTATTAGTGTACATTTCTAATATTAAATCTAGTCTGAGTGTGACCCTTAGTGACCATTTATTTATTGGTGCCGCAAGTCTTTCTAAATTGGGTTACTTTACAAGATATAAAATTATGATTTCTATGACACTTGATAAGGTTATCTACAATCAAATTCTACAATGGTCAATTTAGAATTAAATTCTATAGCACGAAGGTTTCCATTCATAAAAAATATGAATTCGATAATGATCCATGTCGTGACTAATAAATACTTCCTTTACAATAACTGTATTATGTAATTTTTAAACAATTGTACAAAAAAGTTTTTTTTTTCATTTACACATAAACTTGCATATTATCTTTGAATTATTAAACTGTTATTAAAATGGTTCAAATAACAAGGGATTATTAAAAAAATTAAATCATTAAAGTTTTTGTTGAATGTATCAAATTATTTGAAGTAAACATTAAATTGGAGAAATATTTTGTTGTGAATAAAATAAATAATTGCAACAAACTTATTAAACCTTATTTTTGTACTTTTCTTTTAAAGTTATCATGAAGTTATAACATCCAATTAAAATATTTAAAAAGATATAGATCAATAAAAATTATAATCATTAAAATATAGTTGAAAAAAAAACTCCTGCGAAAAAATGCGTATAAAGTTATCGTAAATAAGTTAAAACTTACATGAATTTTTCGATAGTCAAAAATCACTCAAAGGTCACTCTAATTTCACTTTTAGTTATAGTTTAATAAACTGACACAAATCACATCCTTGTACATCCTTTACGCTAATTGATTCAATTTATGTCACACTTACACGAAGCACTGTTCCTTTAGCGCCTGACACTCCAAAAAATCTTACGTCTATCTTATATAAACATTCAAAAAATCATCCGTAATTAAAAAAATATATACCAAAAAATTAATAGAAAAAACAGTCACAAGTCCTTTTTACCTAATCGGAACTGTTTTTACGTTTTACCGCAATATCGCGGCGTATTATCGAAAGCGACATGAACTTTCGACGCGTCTTCAAAGCTCAACGGCCCGAAGGGAACTGAGAGCGTCCGATACCTGCAGAGTCACGCACACAGATGCAAACGCACACACACGGCTATGAGATAATTTAAAGCTCTATCTTCACGTGCCATTTTTTGGAATTTTTCTTCATTGCTCGAAAATCAACAATTAAGCGCCAATAGGAATAATCGAACATCTAGCTTGGAATTCTGTTTGTATTACGCTAACTATCTTCAACTCTACTTTCAACAGAATTTCATTAAAATATTATAATATTAAAAAAGAAGTTATTAAATTGATTAAAAATAAATATTATTGTTGAAGGTTACGCAAAAAGTTGATTGTATCAATGAGTGTTAGTTTTCCTTTTTTTTTATAAGTCCTACACCATTTTTTTTTAATATCCTCCCCTGAAGACAACAGAGATATTATTTTCAAAGCGAATGAAATAGAGTAAACAATAATTTCAATTTGTGCGCAAGCTACGCGGAACGAGACAAACTGTTGTTTAATTTTTTGCTCTTTTGAAGTCGCACGGAAGCGTCGTTTAGAGTTGCTCTTGATTAACTTTTTTTTCTTTTTAATTATGCTCCTCTTTGATTTTCACGTTTAGTTTCTTTAGCACTTCGTTTTATTGCATATACACTTGATATCACGTGAATATAATGAACAGTGAATTTAAAATTGTAGCTTAATACGTTTACGATGTCGATGTTTTCTAAAAATGTTTTAAGAACTAAAGAAGTTTTAAGAGGTGTTCAAGTACTACATAGTGTCGAATTTATCATTTTCAAAGAAAAAAACTAAAATGAGTTTTTTACTTTCATTTTACGTTCCGCAGTTATTCTCCAAAGTCAAGCTATTACAGATTTTCAGAATATTGCTGATGTTTAATGCATATCTTTACTAATACTACAAAATGGGAAGATTTGTATTTTGGTATGTCAGTACTAACTCAAAAACTTCTGAGTCGATTTCAATAATTCTTTCACCATTAGAAAGCTACGTTATCGCTGAATAACGGTACAGCTAAACTAATATAAATCATAAAGTAAGTCACATTAGCTAGAATGTGCCATCGATGAAAAAAAAAATTGCTAGTTATTACATAGGTTTGCTCAACTATCCAACGCAAATACCGTCATCCAACACTATTTGAACGCGTCAACAGAATTATAAAGAAGTGAACAAATAGAAGCGACTTGTCTAACTCGAACGCGTTTTCCCAACAGAAAAATATTTGTACAGCCGACGAGAGCTTAAGTGAAGTCAATTTACTCAGCGCTAGCAAAACTTAGCTACGGCCTTGACACGAAATTCATTTCGCCAGGTAATCATGGAGGTTTTTCTACGTGTTATAGGTCAAACGTGTTATGCGTCACACTTATGTTTTCGGCTGTTTTTATTTGGAATTCAGTTTAAAGCTTGCTTATAGTGGTCATACACAGTCAAATCTGAATTAATAATGTTTGTATCTAATTTGATGAATAATTCCCCTAATAAATTGAAGTAGGAATGGTTTTTATTTGCGTTGCTACATCAAGAGAACTGTCAATGTCAATTATATCAGTATAGTGACAAGATATTTCCCCTTTACTAGAAAATTAACCCTTTATGGAACGAATATAAAAATTGTCAAGTAATCACTCAGGTTTAAGTGACTAGGTCGGACGTTTGCGTCTCTTTCTCCAACTGCACTAGCTTCGATAACATGTTTGCTTACAACTGAAAGGTGAAATCGATAGCCTAGGTGATACATCAGTGTCGCTGGAACCTTACCCAATCGACGCCCGTCCTGATAACACTGGACTTGATTGTACAATTTAAAAGCATCTAACATCGAATATTACACGTTTGTATTTAATTAAATATTGGATTTTTATTGGACTTCTTGATAATAAATGAATTTAATCACTAATGTGGATGATAGGGTCTAAATCGCCTCTACTAATGCGACTATTTCTTATTCAATTTCCTTAACAAAATGTCTTGTAATTCTATTGCTAAACGTAATGATGTTATTTTTTTTAATTAAAATTAGTTAACTGAACCAGTAACAATAAAATAGAATAACTTTAATGAATACATAGCAGTCCGCAGAAGCAATAGCGATCGTAAAAATTTCCACAATTCGAAAATTCATTGAGCAAATAACGACAATAAATAGCTCAAAATGGCTCACTGAATCAGCACTAAATGAAAAATTATACCGTTAAAGCGCTTCGCGAGTAATTTAACTTAGTTTGGTATGCAGTTTACAATTTATTACTATTTATTATGGCAGTTTTTACCCGGCGATGAAAATTAACGTTTTCACAAAACCGAACATCTACCTGATTATTGCATACGAGGAATTAAATTAAAAAAATGTTAGTGATATTATATATATAGAAATTAAACTATTTAATTCTCAATATATTTGAGATATTACAAACTTCCACAGAATTGTAATTAAGAATGTTATAAAGCTAATCTTTCCTCTTAAATCGCTTAACATTTTATTCTCTAGCGATGTTACTTCGTACAAATATATAAAATCTTTAAATAACCTTAATATAAGTATACAAAAATACTTATAAATATAACCTATAATAGTTACATGTGACATAAGTTACAATGTCAAAGCACGAGTCTCTCGCGGATCGTGAAACGAGCGACCAAACACAGTTTCCAATATTTGTTTAGGCGCAAATTGTCCGCTGGACTAACTCGATATAACGCGTCCTGTCGTGTTTGCTTACGTGTGTACTCGAGTTATTAGAACAAATGAGAAAGTAGCACAAGGTATACACAATAAAACAAAAATTGAGGATTTCCTGAAAACAGATCCTCATGACGATAGAGATCTCCAAATAATTAATATATTTCATGTATTGTTAAATAGAACCACAATATTTCGCTTAATGTTTTACCGAACACTATTTATAAGTAAAACCACAAGAAATAACTTTATAGATTACAAAGTAGACAACGGAAAACGTCCCTTAAACAAGCTAACCTTACTTTTTACAAATAGCTCTGAGTTTTCATTCATATTAGTAAATACTATAAAAGTTATTGAACAAACTGAAATTCCCTACTACGTGTTTGCGCATAAGAAGCAAAATGTATGTATCGTGTATCGATTCTCCTCTCAAATGAAAAAAATACTTCAATAATATGTTAATCGCGATCTTGCTCGAAGGCGGTACCTCCCTATTAAGCAACAGCGATATTCATATCGTTTATTTCCCCTGGTAGCTACAGTTAATGAGGCGAAAATAACACACGTTCGAACTACCCACGCGCTATAACATTCGCGCTTAAATAAATACTATTTCCGTTTCACATATCGTTGAGATGAGGAAGGAAAAAGCAGACAGTTAGGCAAAGAAAGATATGTATCGATGAATTATTTTTAGAGACTGTAAACAATTTACGCGTATTGTTTTCTCTAGTGGTTTCTTTTGCAAAGATATGTACTACGGCTTGTATAATTGTCTACTTGGTGTATACTTTGAAATTAGCAGGCATTTTGCAGTATCACAATCTTCCACAACATTTGTAAAGAAAAGTAAATAATTGTTGGTTTTCATTCGAAATGTTTTGCTTAAATAAAGTAAAGAATAAATACTTGATCAATACAAGTACAAGATACGTTATAACAAATTACATCGAAATCTACCTTAATTCTACTAATCCCGATGTAACAACGCTGTATAAAATTGAGGAATCCAAACAATTTGTCAATGTCACTGAAAATTTCACCTGATCAATAACGAAACGGATTCGGGCCTAAGTAAATTACAACTTTCATTATTAACGGATTCCTCCACGAAAGTATAAGTTAAGTAATGGATCACGATGTTGAAAATAAACGGCACCCAACTAAAAATTAGTCCAGCGTAACTTATAGCGACAGCCTTTTCAATTGATTAGAGTTAAAAGCAATTATTATATCGTTGTCTTTGATCGAAGTACTACCTTAATAGTAGTGGTTCATTTGATTATCTATACTCTATACTCTATACTAATATAATAAAACGTAAACACACACTACTTCGTGGCGTAGGATGTCAGCAATCCGTCATATTTTTGGATAATAATTCCTTTAATAAAAGCCCTACACTTATGACACGCTTTAGGCTATATATTATCAAACTATTAAACTTTCGCTGTAGAAAAATTGGAAAAAACGTCCATGTGGGAAAGGGACCATAAACAAGCAAGATGGCCATGGCAGGGTTATTGGTTTCCAATGTCAAAGGCCTTCGTTGTCATTTGTGCATTTGAATTTTGACATTGGCAAATCACAATTTGAGAAATGTAAAAAATAAAATAATGTTTTTATAATTTCAAAGCCACACGGGAACAGCTAGTCTTAAAATATTCCTTGTTGCATCGTTAGATTAGTTTAGTAAGATAGTGTTTATTAGACCAGATCAAAGACCTTAGGCATGTTTGTAATAATTTACTATTCCTGCTTTAATTAAGGTTAGCGACGTGGCAGATTTATACTTTTGGATATCTATACTATATTATAATAAAGCGTAAATACACACTTGTTGCCTAAGATGTCAGAAATTACAGCATATTTTTGAATAATGCTTTTTTTGATAAAAAGCCCTACACTTACGTCATGCTTTAGGCTAAATATTTTTACGCCATTAAACTTAGGAGGTATATATTTTGGATAAAAACCCTAATGTGGGAATGACATCATAAGTTGCTGCCAACATCAAGCAAGCAAGATTGCCAAGGTTTGTCATGACATGTCATTTTGACAATTGTCAATTTGACAATCGCACGGGAACAGCTACTTTAAAAATAAAGTACCTGTAAATCCTGTGGTTTTAATTTACCGTATATAGAGTTTAATTCTTTACAATTGAAGACATCTTGCAAATCCTCAACGTATCCATCCCACGTCTTGGATAAATGCAACAATTGTTGGTTCGTAGCCTTCAACCATTTATACAGCTAATGCCGGCGGCGGCGCCACTGTCTCGGGATTTACAGCGGATTTCAGTTTAAAACCCG